ATGAATTTATGTACAAAATATAAACGAGTAATAAAGTGATTGTGAAATGATCTGAAAGGAAACGGCATTTCCTTTGCACCCGTAGTATATGTGTCGAGAGTTTTATTTATTCAGTTTAATTGATTTTAATTGATTTTAATTGATTTTAATTGATTTTAATTGATTTTAATTGATTTTAATTGATTTTAATTGATTTTAATTGATTTTCATTGCATTTCATGACTGCATAAGCAATTCAATTAAATTATGTGTAATCACTGCAACTGAAATGACAGTACATTTGGTAACAGTGTTTATGAATGGTTGACATCACATGCAATGCAAATGTAAACACAAAAAGAGTTTGAAATGTGAGACCAATTGAGTGATGATTAATCGGATATGACATTCAGATTGGGATTAAGTGTGAGGTCGGCGTTAAGTGCATGTGATTTAGTGCACTACAGAAGTCACGTATGGAGACAATGCCGGCGATTGAAGTCATCGCAGATTTGGTCCGACTTTTCGGACAACGAAGAGAACAATTCGAGACGAAGACATAAAATGGTGGTTCAGTCGGGCTTCGAGTCGGAGACGGAACAGATCGATGCACTTCTGCACGAGTTGTCCGACACTGACGGCCAGTCGTGGAGCCATTGGGAAGAAGAGGGCGAACCCACGATCCGAGGCGTGAAGACAAACGCCATTCCTTTGCGACGATTTAAAGAGAAGTCATTGTATGACCGGAAGAGACATTTCGTGGACTGGAAGCAAATCCAGTGTTCGGCCGGAAAGGGCGGCGACGGTATGATCTGCTTCCTGAAGCTCTGGTGTAACGCAATGGCCGGTCCCAGTGGTGGCGATGGAGGCAATGGCGGACACGTTATCCTCGAAGCCGATCACCAGACCAAGTGTTTGTCGAATGTGTCGACACTCTTGAAGGCAGAGTCGGGCGAAAAGGGTATGTCTAAAGACATGAGCGGCAAAAATGGCGAGCATTTGGTGGTGAAAGTGCCGGTCGGGACACTCGTCAAGGATAATGAGACACAGAGACTGATCGCAGATCTCGATGTCAGCGGATCTAAGTTTATAGCAGCGCGTGGAGGACAGGGAGGGAAAGGGAACCATTACTTCCTGAACAACACTAACAGACATCCAGGAGTAGCAGAAGTAGGCGCCACCGGAGAGTCAAAGAGATGGACACTGGAGTTGAAGACAATGGCTCACTCGGGGTTAGTTGGCTTTCCCAACAGTGGAAAGTCGACTCTCTTGAGAGCCATATCGCGAGCCAAACCAAAAGTGGCGAACTATCCGTTCACTACATTGAACCCAATGGTGGGA